ACTACTGGTTCTGGTCCCACAAACACTTTAGCGCTACCCTGTCGTGCTAGCTCATCTGCCGTTTCATTGCCAGCAACTCCAAAGTGACCTGAGACCCCGATCTCTTATCACAATTCAGTGTGTTTAATGTTCTTTTACAGTCATTAACCAGAGTCAACACTGTTTTCACGGCCTGTAGCACCTGGAGAGCGGCTTGACTGTCTGAGAAAAATCGTACTGTCATGTTCTTCACCTCTTTCTCAAGAGGGATGTTAGCACCCATGTCAATAGCAAATATTTCCGCCTGGAATACAGTGCAGTACGTACCAAGGCGGTAAGTTTGCTTAATCCGAGGTGTCTGGCAGTATACTCTTACTCCGACCCCTTTCGGCGTTTTTGATCCATATGTGAACATGCAAATATTTATTTATTTATTTACACACACGGGGGTAGCAACAGGACACAGTCCGACATAAAAGCTACTCCTCTGTAATACATTTATATACTACAATAAGTTGTATGAACACAAAATTGAAAATCGATCAATTAATTAATTAATGGCCTTAAGCATATGTGATCAAATCAATTCAAGGCAGAACTCAAGCCGCTGCAACGAGATAATATACTTAAAATCACACAACTGGTAGGACGAGCACGGCATTACGAATAATCCGCTTGAAGTTGTGCGGCGTGACGGCGAATACGTCCAACCCAAGACGGTCCATTGTCCTCTCCATGCGAAGTATTGGGGAATTTCTATACGAATTTGTCCGGGTAGTCGGCGCATAGAACAGAAAGTCATAGCGCAGCCGACGAGGGGGAACATGCAGATCAATGCGTGAAAGAAGATAGGAAGAATCACAGTAACCTCTGACCAACCTGAACAGAAAGCAGGTATCACTGCAAGTTATGCGCTGCTGAAGTGTGGGCATATGATACATTTGACAGACAGATTGGTAATCTGTATAAGGATGCCGGAATTAATACGAGAGATACTTCAGAAACCTTATCTGAATCCCCTCTATTCTGTTAATGTATGCGTCGTACTGAGCGTCTCACAAAACTCATAAAATCTGTTCAGGTCATTGTGCAGGTTAATACAATCTGAAACATTAGCAACAGAAGAAAATATTTTAATATCGTCGGCATACATAAGATATCTTGAGGTAAGAAAAGACCTGGTGATGTCACCTATGTACACCGTAAATAAGAGCGGGCGTAGATGACTACCCTGAGGCACTCCGGAAGACATGATAACAGGACCGGACGAATATCCACCAACCCCAACCACCTGCGTGCGATTGGAGAGGTACGAAGCAAACCAGCTCAAAAGGACACCTGCGACACCAACGCGCTCTAATTTTAACAGTAATAAACAGTGATCCACTTTGTCAAAAGCTTTGCTAAAGTCATTGTATATCGCATCTACTTGGATGTTTTTATCAATAGTCGAAAAAAGAAAGTCGGTATATTCTAACATATCTGCCTGAACCAGAGAATTTTCGTTTTCGATCCAGGACTGCCGTTCAGGCAGTTCAGGATCGAAAGGCAGTTCAGGCATTGATAACAAAATATCAGTGCTTATCGTGTCTTCCGCAGCCTATTGGTAGGACATGTCGGAACAGTATTATATCTGTAAATGGTAGTTCTAGCCACTTTCTCTATACCGGCTGTCCCTCAGAAGTGGCTCACCCCCATATTTTTATTTATTATTAGTGATATAAGAAATCTATTTTTAATGCATAATTAGGCCGTTAAAACGGATTATTACGACATGAAATCATTCTCTTTGTACTTCCGGTTATACCGGACGTGAGTACTAATTTCGCTATTTTTTAAATCTATATTATTTTCTTCTTCAGTTGGGTAGGCAGCATAATTTCACATAACTTTTACTTGAAAAAATTTTCACGATCGCTTATAATTTTTGAAAAAAAAAATATTTTCGTTATTTTTTAACGTTTTAGCACGAATAATAGTTGTTCTGTGGTTTTAGTAGCTTCGGAAAATGTATTACAACTTTTGACGCATAGTAGCTAGGTTAATAGTAAAAACTACGCTATGGTTCTTTTTTTTTCATAATACCTGTCAAATTGTTTTGAAGTTGGCAAAAGGAACAGAGAGTTTTGTCACACTGACGTTTATTTGAGCTTTCCTTTTCTTTATTATTCCTTTTCTTCCTTCCTCTTGATTTACTATTTCTCGAGGAGTGATTACTGCTATGCTTTAGTCAATGGTTCTTTTTTAATAATGGTGTAAATTAACAGTTGTATTAAATTGGTTTTAAAAGAAACTCGCGATCAAACAATTAAATTTAAACCCAATCCAACCCAATTTTTTCCACAAAGACTACAAGTCCACAAGAATAGTTTAGCTTTGTGTAAAACTCCTTGCAAATGTCCATTCCATGAGAGCGTTTTGTCTAGGATTACTCCTAGATATTTGACTTCCTTTGAGAAAGGAATTTCATTCACCTTGATGAATAGTTGGGCGGATTAGTTCATCCAACTTTCGTCTCCTGGTGAAGGGCACAACCATTGTCTTTTGCGGGTTTATCGAGAGATTCTCTCACTTACACCAAGCGTAAATGGTATCTAGGGTCACCTGGAGGACGTTGGATATCCTCGACAAACAGGTTCTTTTGACCATAACGACAATGTTATCAGCATCCAACTCGCTATAGTTGCGTCCACTCCCCCGTCAAGAGCAGCTCTCAGAGATTGTGGTATTGCGTTATTGAACGCACCTTCTATATCCAGAAACGCACAAACCAAGATCCTCTACCAACCAAGTTGTGTAGAGTCAATTCTGCTGATTTTCCCGCTTCATAAGCATTGTGGTGGCGACTCAATGGATCAGATACCAGTGGCACCGTACGGATGTACCGATCCTGAACTTTTTCAAGGGTTTTCAACAGAAATGACTTCAAGCTGATGGTCGAAAGGCATTAAGAGTAGGGACCGTACAGCCCTCTTCAGATATACAGGCTGTCCGGTATCTTCCGCATCACAGTATTATACGGTTGTAGGATACATTATTCTGCAGCGATCTTTCTAATAAAATTTTTTCGAAATGTTTATAATAACCGCACGGGAACTGTTTAAAGTGATTTTAACAGTTTTTCGGTGTTTGATTCACCGAGAAAGTTTATTTCTCTTCCCGTGTCGAATCTATTGGTAAGTACACGTGAGAAACGTGTTTTGATCGGCGCGGCCGTCCGGCCGATTACCTGAATCTGATTTACAATTTGCCATTGGACGTCGAAAAACAGTTCCCGTGCGGTTATTATAAACATTTCGAAAAAAATTTATTAAAAAAATCCCTTCAGAATAATGTATCCTACAACCGTATAATGCTCTGATGCGGAAGATACCGGACATATATCCAGGCGGTACTCGCTTTGAAAATTTTTACCAAAATAGGCAACAATAGCAGTGATGTAAAATTACGGTAATTTATAATTTGTGTAAATTATTGTTGTAAATTACGGTTTTTTTTTTCTCAAAATTTATTCTCGCTTAATTTAATAATTTTTTTGATAAATTACTAACTTTTTTTTATTATTTTGATTCATGGACAGTAGAATCTAACTTGATTTTGATTTAATAAAACCTTTATACAAACTACAAAGGAACATTTAAAATAAACTATGTAACAAAACCTTTAAAAATGAAACAAAATATGAATTCTATGTAATTCAAACAAATAATTCAGAAAAGCTTCTTCCTGTTGCGCACGTTGTTGGTGAGCAGTTTAAGATTTCCGTTGCTACTTCGCTTCAAGATGTAGCACAACAAAGAGACTTTCAGCATATAATAGAATGCAGTTCATCCGTATCCAAAGCTCTCCATATGAAACCGTTAGAAATTAATTGTTCTTTTGATTTATAATATTCAATTTCAGTCATAACGTTTGCTACATTAGATCCATTAACCAGAAGCGATAATTTATTGATGCAATGCACTCGTCGTTACTGAGATGTTTTCCAATCATTTTAGGAACTAGTAAATTTGCTACTAAGTGTAAAGATGTTACAACCATATCTGTTCGTGCTTTTAAAAGTGATAGAATTGTTTTAACTTCTGAAACTGGGCTTTCACTTTGTAGTCGATCATTCAAATTTTGAAAATAGTCAACATGAGAAATACAAGGTTGGGAAGTTAGTACATTTTTTAAATTTACTGAAATGGGATTTAAAATCTTATATTATGTACCAAGTTTCCCCCAGAATATATCGCTTAAAATGTTACGTTTAATACTTTCGTCTAGAATGCTTGTTATAGTTTCTGTTATTATATTCCGCATTATCAAAACACCGCAAGCGCATGCGCAGATACATCCTAGCTCCTAGCGGTAATTTATGAAAAATTTGTTTGGTAATGTACAGTAAATTACGGTAAATATTTTGGTAATTTACAAGGTAATTTATAAATTCACAACACTGAACAATAGTGACCTTGCTTGGTGTAACAAAGCAGGAAAGATATTGTCTTCTCCGGGTGATTTGAACGGCTGAAACGTTTGAAGCGCCTGGTCGACGGATGTGCAAGTGGCGACGTTTCTAGTCACACTCCAATCCGTATTTGAGGGGCGCTTTGCCATGCAGGAATAGCCCGCTGTGACATTATTAGCCCCCATCATCAAGCTTCCTGGGGAGTGAGGCTGCATGAGAAGCTGTCACGACGATCTGCTGGAGTCCGTAAAACTACCGTCAGGTTGCTTAAGTGAGCCCAGGGGCAGTGACGGATCTCTAGCGAGAATCTTGTCGAAGAATCCTCCCCCAAGACTGTCTTTTTGCCTTACGAATAGTTAGATTAGACTATTATTTAGACTAGATTAGTTCGAATCATCAAATCACTGCACTTTGACTCATTTATGAGTCGTTGTAAAGCAGGCACCAACGTTTTTTGTCAAACTTTCTATTATCAGGGGTGATAGTAATGCTCAATCTGATAAATTTGTATAGTAACGTATATTGATCATGTTTACATTTAAATGTTAACAAACTCATATTTTTATAGGTTTTAGGGAAATTTCCTGTTGCCCAACATATCGTATTCGGTTCGCTGCTTCCAATAAACCCGGCCGAAGCTAACAGTGCCCTCCGAAAAACACGGATGAGTTCAACACCACCGATTTCTCCTGTTAGTTCATTAACAGAGGTTCAAACGGATTCAATGCAAGTTGGTGAAGATTCGGAAACCAAACTTAGAATGGAAGAAGAACATCTTAATTATGAAGAAGAAGAGCAAAGCAAACAAAGTCTATCAGGGGCACAATCCGAAGAAGTTCAGGCAACTACTACTATGTAAAGAAAATAAAAAATTGCGATGTATTATTAATTGCAATGTATGCATGTTTATTTGGTAAAAATGTGCTGCATCTATAATTAACTAATTAGTAATATATAAAAGAAATATTACCAAAAGTACATTGTACTTATAATAAAAAAATGTATAAAGAAACAAAAACAAAAATAAATTAAATCAGTGTTTGTTTAAAGAAAAATTTACTAAAAAAAGAATTGCTGTTATTTCTAAATTATTCGTAAATCCTTCCTTTACATTTACAAGTTGATTTGCATTGATTTCCTAGAGTATGGCAAACAAAATGCGTGTGATTTTTGTAAAGATCATCACAGTTGGAGTAAACATTCGAAAATGGACATCCGTTTGTACATAATTTTTCTTTGCACGAATTTGGGCAAATTCCACATGATTTACCGGATTTGTAAGGTAATCCTATTTTTCCTTGTTTGTTCCCGCTGAAAATTATAAAAACATTTTTATAGCATTATGTATTATCTCAAACAGTAAACGAAATGTATATTAATTAATTATTGTATATATCTTAATTCTTTAGTTACCACGCAATGTTGTTAGTAAGTATTGTAAAATACAACCAATAAAATTGATGAATTGGAAAACAAAATGTTAATTGTTGGCTAATACATTTTTACATTTGTTGGAGATCTGTTCCTAATGATGTTGAAAATTGACGTTAAAATTTGGGATACTTTATCAAACATTTTTAATTCAGCTATAAATGCAGGAATGTATTAATTTAATGAGCCATTGGAAAAAGAGTAGAAATTCCACTAGAAAGTTCCAGCCAAAAGAGTAGCAGAAAAAACAAAAAACCTTTCATCTCGCCGCATTTTCGCAAATTTTAAACTAATGTTGTAGAGATTCAAATTTGTTTGCGGTTATATCGCTTTAACTGTTGGATACAGATTTAAAAATCCTGTTCAACCGTAGCTGAGTAAGAGGTGACAATTGTACAATGTTCTTTTTTTTTCTATATTGCGCGATTTCCTTACTTTTTTGTCTTTCTTGGAAGTAATGTGCTGTGTAAGTATTTTTGTTTTTAGTAATTCCAGTTGTTATTAACAGCACTCTTAATTTCATGAAAATAACTAATATAATTCTTTTGCTTTCAAATTCGTTACTATACCAGAATAATGACGAATCCGGAATTGCTGTTAAACGCACGTCTAGCTATCTTAATTTTACTTAATTACCAATCAATTTTCTTAATTTACAATGTGTAACACTTAAGCAATAAAAAATAGCCTTAAAGTATAAATCGACTCCGTTTGAACAGGTTCGAACACGAACGTTGCGTAGCCGTCTTAACGATGCTAAAAACTAGTTTCTACGAGGAACTATAGAGGAACTATAGCCGTTCCTCGTCGAAACTAGTTTTGCAAAAGGAAGCCAAAGAAGTAAGTAAATCAGTCGTAATTTAATATTTACCCATTTTTAATGATTGTGTTATATTTTGATAAAACGTTTACGTAATAATAGTAAACTATAGTTTGTTAGAGATGAGTTATGAAAAAGATCAGGAACGATTTGGGAATAATTGGAAGAGGAGGAAAAAGAAAATAGTGTTCAAGATGATTCTAGAGAGGAAGGTGATGTAGTGGAGCGCAAAGAAGGTTCTGAGTCGGACCAAGAACTTCAATCAGAATTGAATACCAGAATTAAAATGCCAATTCAAATGCATATACACGTTCAAATTGATACACGTGGAACAATTCGGCTTGGTATATTTGACCGCGAATCTCCAAATGTCTCTGGTTGTTAATAGCTTTTTATTTTACAACCCTCTACAATGTGAACATTATAAATATTCCAGAATCTTAGGTAAAAGCGAATTCTAAGCATTTTGATACATTGGTCATTTGTGTTATCATTTCGAATGTTATAATTTTATATTATAAGTGTATTTTATTTCAAAAGTATTTTCTGTTACTCATAACATTTATATCACATTGTTATTGCTGTCATTTAAGAATTTTATAATCGGGTAAAGTTATGTTGGTAATTGTGTTGACAGAAGAACGAAAACTGGAAAGTCATAATACCTCGTGTGTTATAATAGTCAGTAATATAATAGTGAGTGATAATAAGAATCATGTAAGTAAGAATCAATTTTATTTTAATTTTATATACAATAAAATATATGTATGTATGTATATAATTATATACATATATGTATATATTATATATGTATATATTAAAAACAACTTTTTTTTGAATAATCCTGACAATATCAGGAAGACAAAAAAAATATTATGGGAAGAAGAAAGTGTTAGCAAAAAAGAAGATTTTGGAAATGAAAGCGATACGGATACACCTGACACTGTAGAAGCTGTGGAGGAGAATTCTGATACGGAACAAGAAGATTCTGAAGACGAAGTTGATTGTTTGTCAATAGAAAGCAATCAGTATTTTTTCTGAAAGGACAAAAAAACGAAATGGAGTATCAATCAACCAGCAAAAAGAATTCGAACAAAGAAGAATAATCTGCTTTGAGAGCCTACATTAGTACATTAGTGGGCGTAGCAACATCGGCACGTACTCTTTTAGAATGTTGGAGCTTTTAGTAACTGATGATATTTTGGAAACAATTGTGAAGTATACGAACCAGTATATTGAGGATATAAAATCGAAATTCCAACGCGATAGAGATGCCAAAATTGTCGATTGGGTTGAATTGAAAGCGTTTATTGGTCTCTTGTTCTTAGCTGGTGTTTTCAAGGCTAATAAACAAAGTTTAGAAGATTTGTGGGATTCTGAAGATGGCGTTGAAAAATTTAGACTGGTGATGCATGAGCTTAACATGATTCAAATTTATCATGAAATGTTTAAGATTCGACGATAAACGTACTCGGGAAAAAAGAAAAAGTACAGACAAGTTAGCTGCAATTCGGGACGTGTTTACAAAGATTGTTCACAACTGCCAAAAATGCTACAGTCTGGGAGAAAATGTTACTGTGAATGAGAAGTTAGAAGCATTCAGAGGTAGGTGTGGTTTCAAACAGTGCATAACCAAATAAGCCGAACAAGTACGGAATTAAACTGTATGCTTTGATAGATGCTCAAAAAAATTTGGTTGTATAATCTTGAAATTTATGCTGGTTTGCATCCTGATGGCCCATACCGTGTATCTAACAAACCAACCGATGTCGTTCTTAGATTAGTTCAGCCTATTTTTAATACAGGTAGAAATATTACTGCTGACAACTGGTTCAGTAATTTCGATCTTATCGACAAATTAAAAAATAAAAAGTCATGTTGGATCTTTAAAAAAAAATAAGCGCGAGATTCCACCACAATTTGTTACCACTAAAGGAAGAGATGTCTGTAGTAGTATGTTTGCGTTCAATAATAACTGTACATTAGTTTGTACTTCTTGCTTCAACGCTTCATGAAGACAATTCAATCGATGCTGCCACAGGTAGTCAACAAAAACCATCAATAATAACGTTCTACAACAGTACAAAAGGAGGTGTGGATACTGCCGATAAATTGTGCGCCTCATATAATGTTGCAAGGAATATAAGACGATGGCCAGCTGTAGTATTCTTTGCCATCCTGAACGTTACGGGCATAAATGCACTGGTAATTTGTTTTGAGAATAATCAAAAATCTATTCGCAGAAAAATGTTCCTCAAAAGGTTTGCACAGGAGTCAGTTTTGCCCCAATTGAAGCGAAGAAGTCAGCAAACTCTGGGAATGCCTAAAGATATGCAAGAAAGATTGAAACGTTTTCAATCTACCGATGGTAACGAGGAAGATACTCAAAACAGAGAACAACATGATGGTGGTGCTGTCAAAAGGAAATGGTGCGAGGACTGTAATTTTCCAGCGAGTAAACGACGATTGACAAAATACGATTGCAAAAATTGTTATAAATTAATATGTTTATCACATATTCAGACAATTTGTCATAGTTGTGCTCAAAGCTTATTACTAAGCCAGCAAATATCTCAAGCATCATCAAATGAGTGATAAACGTTTTCGCTTTCATAGATTCATTTTTGTTTGCTGATCTTTCTGTTTATTGTTATTGTTTTGTTACGATTATCTAAGTTATACTATTAATAAATTATTAATAATGTTTCAATAAATAATAAGAGTAAAAATTTTGATTTATTGAAATAATATTTAGTCAACTTCATTACATAGTAAACACATTGTGATCATTTTGATACATTGCGCCCGATATGATTCTTTTTTGCATTGCGCCCGACGAAAGGTTAAAAAATGCCTGTAAAGTGTTTGTTCATTGTATGACATGATGAAAAAAAAATGTACTACTCGCGTAGCGACATCTAAACAATTCCGAAGTAATCACGGTTTGTCACAATCATAGATGTATACTAATTCTTTATGCAGCCCATAGATGGCAATTGAAGTATGTGCCGTATTTCAATCTGTGGTATGGGGAATCCCCATATAAACACAAATAATCAGATTAGAGGTTATTTGTCTATGGTGTTGGTTAGTGTTGTGTAGGTACGGTGTTTCAATCGGTTAACGACACAATTGTTAGTTTATTGTTGTGAACTGAAGATTGATTTTGCGATGGATATACGGACTTTCTTTAGCAAAAAGCGAAGAGTTGAAGAGGAAATTGACCTCGATGAACCACATTCCTCAAAACAGATGCAAGCACAAGATACAATTGCTACTTCTAATCCTATGGAGTCAGTACAGGTTTGGTGAAACATGTTGGTAGTATTAGCCTTGGTATTCCTTTTAATATTGCACAAATCGGAGAACCGATAAAGCAAGTTATTTTAGACATATATCCCAAACAAAATAATAGGGTTTTTGTAGCGGACTGGTTCAAGCGATATAAATGGTTTTTGTTGCAGTATTCTGTGGAGAAAGATGCTGCGTTTTGCTATCCTTGCCAGCAATTTTTGCCTCATGGTAGCAAACAAACTTCTTACACTTCGACAGGTTTCAAAAACTGGAAAAACGCTACTGATGCAAAAACTGGTTTCCCAAAACTACTTTCGACGAACAAGCATTGGGTTGTAATATGTCACTCAAAATACACTTTCTACTTCGACATCTTTCATCTCGAGTGCTCGTGTGTTGGCAGTATTTTGTTGGATGCTTGCAAGAAACCAGCTTCAAGTCAAATATTCCAGAAAATTTAAACTTTTAGTTTTAAGAAACTCATTTTTAAGTTTAACTGTAAATAAACTCTGAATGAAGTTCTTGCCACAAAAGATATATGACTGCAAAATTTTTTCTACAACTTAGGGAGTCAAAATAAAATAAAAAGTACCTACTAAAAAAGTTCATGTGACAAATTAAAAGTTCATATTTGTCGATCAGTGTAATCTAAGGATTAAAATAAACAGATCTCTATAAGTATAAATTAATTTAAAACGATTACTTACGATGGACAATAATTACACACATAGTTGTAATAGGTNAGCACAAGATACAATTGCTACTTCTAATCCTATGGAACTCAGTACAGGTTTGGTGAAACATGTTGGTAGTATTAGCCATGGTATTCCTTTTGATATTGCACAAATCGGAGAACCGATAAAGCAAGTTATTTTAGACATATATCCCAAACAAAATAATAGGGCCTTTGTAGCGGACTGGTTCAAGCGATATAAATGGTTGCAGTATTCTGTGGTGAAAGATGCTTCGTTTTGCTATCCTTGCCAGCAATTTTTGCCTCATGGTAGCAAATAAACTTCTTACACTTCGACAGGTTTCAAAAACTGGAAAAACGCTACTGATGCAAAAACTGGTTTCCCAAAACTACTTTCGACGAACAAGCATTGGATTGTAATATGTCACTCAAAATACACTTTCTACTTCGACATCTTTCATCTCGAGTGCTCGTGTGTTGGCAGATTTTTGTTGGATGCTTGCAAGAAACCAGCTTCAAGTCAAATATTCCAGAAAATTTAAACTTTTAGTTTTAAGAAACTCATTTTTAAGTTTAACTGTAAATAAACTCTGAATGAAGTTCTTGCCACAAAAGATATATGACTGCAAAATTTTTTCTACAACTTAGGGAGTCAAAATAAAATAAAAAGTACCTACTAAAAAAGTTCATGTGACAAATTAAAAGTTCATATTTGTCGATCAGTGTAATCTAAGGATTAAAATAAACAGATCTCTATAAGTATAAATTAATTTAAAACGATTACTTACGATGGACAATAATTACACACATAGTTGTAATAGGTAGATTTTCCTGGGAATCCAGAATTTTTGTCGCATTTTGCAAATCCACATCCTACAAATTGACTCGTTGCCCAAACCATTTGCGTGTAATGACCGACCAATTTTAAATTGTTCTTAGTGCTCCCGTAAGTAAAATATTTCTTTTCAGCAAACCATGTTCTCATTGCGAATAACCTAATTATAAAATAAAATTATTTTATTACATATAATTACAAAATATTATGTTTAATTATGTCATCACAATTATTTTTTTATTGGTGAATATGTTGTCAGTAATTACCATTTAAAGAAGATACAATTGACCTATGGATACTATTATTAAAAGTTAAAAGCGTGCGGAGCTGGAATTCGAACCAACAAATTGTTTGCCATTTAAAGTTTTTCATTGACATATCAATTGATAATTGGAAATCAATACATTTATTTTTGAAAATTGATACCCACATATTATTGTTAATTCTGTTAATATATATTTATTTTACCATTGAACTGGATGAGTTGAAACGAAGATATTTTGTCCACAAGCTCCATAATTTTTATCATTTCTTCCTTTAGAATCATCATGAGTTAAAAACATACATTGATTAGCCCAGTTTTGTGCTGATTTTGCGGCTCCTACATGCCATCTCTTAAGAAAAGAATTAAATTAATAATTGAAATTAACTTAATATTTTAGTTAAATTTTATTTACCATTCTTAACATATTCGATGCGGCTGGTTTTACGACAGATCGAAATTTGTTGTGTTTTCTAACGATGTATCTTTGAACGTTTCTTATAACACCTCTTAATATGGTTTGATTATGAAATTTCATGTATTTTATTTCTTAAATAAATAATATTATTTAATAATATCTACAAAAGATGGTAATAATAAGTCGAAAATAAAGGATAAATTTAAATATTTTGTTTTAAAGAATAAAAACTATGCCATTTTGAACTGTGGTGTTTTGACAATAAATTGTTGGTATACATTTTTCTGATATAGTCAAAGAAATAGCAAATCGTTTCATTATTACTTTATAAGTACTTTCTCATTATTACAGTTTAAAGTAGTGATTCTGCTTTATTCTTTCTCTACTTAATATAACATTAATGCTGTACGTCTACTACTGTTTATACAGTCCAAATTAAAAAGGCGGTTTTGCTGAAAATTGGATAATAACAATATTCAGTTGATTGATTGTTAGTATTATGCTAAAAAAACAGATATCAGTTAAAACGAGAGCGGAACGAGAAAAAAGAGACTAAGTAGAGAGGCTGGTAAGAAACTGGAAGGAGAATGTAAAGACTAGAAAGGAAGTAAACAGAAAAAGATTGCTGAAAAGAGACTGGTAATAATAGAAGGAAGACTGAATAGAGATTGAAATGACAAGAAGTAGACTGGGCAGACAGAAATGATACTGGAAAGAGAGCAAGCACTGAAAGACTGGCAATAGAAGAAGAAGGTTGAACGTACACTGGTGAGAAATATAGTTATTGTGCAGAGAGGATGGAAACTGGAAAAGGACTGTAAAAGACAACAAAGGGATTATACATAAAAGAGAAAGACTGAAAAGAGATTAGTAATAGCAGAAAGAGATCGAAAGGAGAATGGAAAGGCAAGAACGAAACTCCTAATAAGAGAATGAGATTGAACAAAAATAAGAAAAAAAAATAAAAGGTCGGAGAGGATTGAAAATAGATCGCTAATAAGTGATAGAGTTTGAACAAAGGATAGAAAGAAACTGAACACAAGCTGGAAAAATAAGAAGTATACTCGGCAGGGAGAAAGCTTAGAGAGAGAAGAGAAAAGCTAGAATCTGCTATTAGAAAAAGAAAGGTAATAGAAGACGATACTGAGAGAGATCGGAAATACTGTGATAGAGATTATAAAGAGAAGAGGAAAATTTACCAGACTAGAGAGGGGTCTGGAAAGTGACTGGCAGTGAAAGAAATAAATTGAACAGATACTTGACGAAAAGGAATAAGACTGCTATAGAAAGAGACTGAATAGAAGCTGGAAAGATAAAAAGAATGCTGAAAAACGAGAAAATGCTTAGAGAAAGAAAAGGAAAGCTGGAAGCTGGAGATTGATTTTAGAAGAGACTAGATACACAACAATGATACAGCCACATGATAAAAATAACTGGTCAACGAAAGTGTTTAACAAAGGATGGAAAGACAAGAAGATGATTGGTAACAGAAGAAGTAGAATGGAAACTGAAGGAAACAAAAAAAAAATAAGTGGCCGGAGAGGACTGAAAAAACTGGTAACAGAAGAAACAGACCGAACAGTGACTATGAAAGAGAGAAAGAAACTGGACAGAGAATATGAAGTGTGGAAAAAGGACCAGGCGCAAAAGACTGGAAGAAGTCTCGAATGTGACTGGTGGTGGAAAGAACAAAATAAACAGATAAGAAGAATGCTAAACAGAAAGGACAACCTTTAAACAACCTCAAAACAAAGGTACACCTTTAGTTCTAAATTCATTAATTTTTTGTACTTAACAACAAACATGGTCGGTAATTATAAATTCTTATATTTTAAGAATTTGTTTCCAATGTTGGCTTCCAAATTCCCGTCAAATATTTCGATGCCCAGGTATTTAAGTTTCATTTTTTGATGTATGATTTTATCATCAGCTATAAGCTTGCCTCAGAACGAGATTGTCATAGATTTTGTTTATGACCTCTTCTATAGCGGTGTAGAAAATGACAAAAGGGCGCGGCAAGATGTATCCATCCAAATACGTAAGGAGCTTAGAAGATATATGTGGAGATATGAAGATATATATAGATATATGAAGATATATAGATATATACAATACTAGAAACATAATATATAAATGACGATGCCATAGTTGCCAAAAAAGTCCAATTCTATGAAAACTACATAGTCAGATAATAAGAGTGGAAAAATCACACGAAGCGGAAACGGTGAACGACAATGGCAGTAGACCGATTATAATATGACAAGGGGAAGGACACTGAAAAAAGGAGGGAGAGAACAGAGAAAAGATACAACTTGGATAGCTTAATTGATGAAAGCACCCAATAACTATACATATAAATCTAGATAAGATGAAAAAGCCGAAAACATGCAATGTAAAAACTATGGACAACACAACTACTTTGGAAAGATGTGGATATACTCAGCAGCCAAAAAAGCTTTGGGTACAAAGAATACCGACAAATTAAGGTACCATATTTGTAGAACGAAGAAATAGAAGATGCAATAAGAGACAAGAGAGAATAATAGAAAATATTCTTGGCATCAAAATCAAAGGAGCATAAACTACTGTACAAACAAGCGCACAGACACAGATTGGGAAGGTTAGAGAAAAAATGTGGGCAAAAAAGTGGTGAATCTTGAAATCCCCAAGATCGAGCAAGACAAGACACCTAAGACCGAAAATGAGACACCTACCTTAAACAGTTACTAACAAAAGATTAACCGAATTTCTTGAAGGAACAAGATAAATAAGAAAGTGTACGTAAAACAATATCTCCAATCAGAATAATCATAAAAAATGTAACGAAAGCCTTACAAAGATACGAAAGCACCGAATTCGGGTAGAGCGTATAAAATGTGGAACAACAAAACTATACCAACAACCGGAAACACTATTCCAGAACTGTGTTAATGGTAAATCAATTGCAAAGGAATGGAATACAGCCGTTATATCCACCATATATAAATGGGGGACAGACAAAACTGTTATAATTGCAGAGGTATAGCAGTGATGGGCACTATATAACGTATATGGTAAGATCCAGGTCAACAAAATAGACCTAGTATACAGAGATATGAAAGCAGAGGAGTAGGAAGGGTTCGGGCTAGAAAATCAACAATAGACAACCTCTTTTGTGTCTCTCACCTTGTGTTTATATACCTAAAACAAGCGTTTAGCAGCACAAACCAAGATAGAGAAGCATCAGTAGAACGAACATCAGTGTGATCATAGTAATGGCAGTAAGAAATTGTTACCAACAAGCAACAGTTAAAATCAAAATTGGACAAGGAGTATAGAATAGATTCCACATCACTAAAGGACTCCAGTAGGAAATGTATCTGAAATAATCGCTAAAACAGTTTCACCAACGTTTGACAGTTTCACACTACGTTTTGCTGACGACCAAATAACTACCGACGGAACACTAGAGTGCACCATAAAGGATAAAAACATAGAAGGCAGAAAAGCGTATAAAACATAATGTTCCATTTAAAAAAACAAAGTTGACAAAAATAAAAATCGATGTGTTTTGGGCTCATGACGATTTCATTAACCGTTATTAAATTAGACAGGGGAGGGGTTACATATGACACGTACTGTATATATAAATCTGGTACTGTAACATCTGGAGATCACCCTCGTTCACTGTTACCAGCATCACATCGTCTGCATAATATTGAATATTTTCTGAATATGTGTCTTCTATTGTTTCATCATGATTTCGATAAGTTGTAAATCTAGTACAGACACCACTCGTTAGACTCAACGGGTTCTATTTAAAACTTTCCATTTCCGTGTAGTAGGATGTCCCGGAATCGTTTTGTATGACTGTCAGCAAACTTACATTTTCCAAATAATGAAACGATAGAGAGTAACAGACTTGGAAAAGTTTACCACTCCTAAATATATTGATAGATAATTATTAAAAAAATCTTTTCATCAGACAATGGTCCCTTGGAGAGGTATCAAACTGTTACCAGCGGCGGAAAGCAATTTAACATAGCCGAAAACTTGCTTTACTTGTTTGTATTGAACTTGTACATAAATTGCTGATGAAAGACGAACTTTGCTTGTCGACAATTTTTACACAGATTATGAATTAACAATCAAATTTTTAAAATTGAAGATGTACAATAAAGGAACTGTACAATACAGCAAAAAAATTATGCCACGTGTTGTAATGTAGTTTTCATTGAATAGAGGTGAAATGATAGCACGAGAAGATGACATGGTATTGTAGCGCTAAAATGAAATAGTATGGAATGATATTAAATAATTGTTCGTGAGACGATCTATTTTTTAAAAAGAAACTATTTTATTTCATACTAATATTTCGATCGTTTATTTCGATCTCCATCAGAGTATAACTAAAATACAAAAGCAACTAAAAATAACAATCTTACAATAAAAGTTAATTACTTACAAATTATGTTTCTTAAGGAAATAACATAAATGAAACCATAAAACGTTTATAAAAATAATTGGAGATGTAAAAAGTTTATGAAAAATAAAACGTGAAAAGTGACAATCATATATTACTTCACAAATAAAATTAATTTACTTTTATTTTTATCTATTTGAAAAAGAAATATTACTCAAATCTTCTGTATCTAACTTGAAATTTACAATATTATTTTCAGCGTTAATATGAAACATTTCAAGGAATAATCTATTGTAATAATTTGATTCCTTGTCCAAAATTATTGTGTTTTCAAAATCAAAAATATGGTTAAAAAGGGAGTCACCCATATTTGGAAGCATACCCGTCACCCAGATACTGGTGACGCGGCGACGAACCGAATACGTATAGTTACACATATTCAGTTGAAAGCATTATGCAGATGGATAAAACACATTAAGTTACACAAATGACCAAATTACATTCTAAAGATATTCTCAGTATCTATTGCGACACGAGAAAGGAACATTTCTATTATGAAACAAATCAAAACGTATTTGCGGAAGTGAACAGATCAAGTTCGATTGAATGGATTAGCTATTTTGTCGATATACACAGATCAACATGTTTGTATAAAGAGATAGTGGATAATTTGTTTACAGAAATCGACGCGATTAGCTCTCATTTTATAATTTGCTAAACTTATTTAAT